TTTATTGACGCTCACAGTGCATCTGAACCTCATAATTGCTTAATCTGCCTTGATTAGAAGGAACCCTTTAGAGAATACAGATGATCATTTTTAAGGCTTTTTTCCACGTACTGCTTTTGGAAGATGTGAAAATTACGACTGCTTTCGTCTTTCATTTTCTCTATACAACAAAGAAGCCAGAAACAATGTGCTGGTTCAGAAGAACTAAAGGTCAGTTGAAAACGCTAGCACCTATTGTTTACCATAGAACAAGAGACTGGCAAATGGTTTCAAACACTGTGAGCTATTTTTATTACAAGGAAAGAGAGGGTGGTGCCTAAGACATATTAGAGAAATTACAGTTGCTAATGGTTCTTATATTTCAGTCCACTAGAACTCTAATGTGGCAAAATTTTAGTTTCTTTCATAGTGACTCCAAATAGTTTTCATCAGAAATGGCACTTTCAGAGAATGAGAGATTGTATTATTGAAGGTGAATCAGATAAGGTCACCATGGGACTTCGTCCTACCACAAATAGCACGGTATGATACCCACATTCCAGACCATTCACAAGGGAGGCTGGACTGTGGGTTTTTACAGCTTTTTACATCACCACGCTCCTGAGGCCCATATGTTGGTATGGCCTCTGTACTTGGAGTGAGTGAGAACGAGTCTGCTTCATTGTTAGGAAAGAATGATGAAACAACTTCATTAAGCATTCGTTCGTTTGGAACAGTTAAGAGGATCGAGTTTTCTGGCATCAGCTAGATTCCAATTAACTGAGAATGACCACACGTGAATGTGGAGCCCTGATGGCACAGTGGTTAAGCACTCAGCTGCTAACCAAGAGGTCAACTGTTTGAGTCCACTAGCCACTGCACAGGAGAAAGATGTGAGTGTCTGTTCCATAGTGATTTATAGCCTTGGAAACCCTATGGGATGGGTCTGTTCTGTCCTGTAGGGTCACTATGAGTCGGCCTCATCTCAACACCAGTGGTTTTATCTCATACATGAGAACTTACATGGATGTTGTTAAGTACCATGGAGTTGGTTCCGACTCATAGTGACCTTACACAGGGTTTCGGAGGCTGTAAATCTTTACGGGAGCAGCAAGCCTCATCTTTCTCCCACGGAACAGCTGGTAGTTTTGAACTGCCGACCTTGGGGTTAGCAGCCTGGTTCGTAACCACTATACTATATGGATGGCAGGTTTCAAAAGAGCTGGATGTAGTGAAATGATTCTCCAACTTGCCCTGAGGTGTTACCAAGACCACAGCAGGAAGAGGAAACAAATGGAAGCACTCCCAGGCTGGTGTCCCTACTTTTATATTTTCGACTCCTATGTTCAAGGACTGCCTTTTTAAAAACTTAGTTGCTACTGAAATATTCTAACCTTTTAACAAACTTCTGGTTAGTGGCTAAGCTTTTCTGAAAGTATAAAATTCATTGGAATGATTGTGGGTGCCTTATCACAGTCACTGTGAGAGCCGCCAGTCAGTAGTCACAGCCGAGTACGCCTTTCCGTGATTCACAGGTAATTACCTTATAGAAATCTATTTTACTCTATACAGACTAATTTTCATTGTTGTTCTGGACAATTGGGAGTTGTTGACATTTTTTCAAGATTCAATTGCTATACACTGCTATTTTGAATTTCCCAGGTTACTGCTTCATTGTGTACCTTTTACCTGTCAACAATGGAAATGAATGAATGTTGTAAAAGTGATCACTGACCCAAAGTGGAAGTCAGGTGCTACCCCAAACCTTTTAAAGTGAAAAACCCTCAAGAGAAAAACATATCAGGCCCAACCACCTCTTAGGCAGGGCCTGTGTTAAATGCAAATCACAGACTTCCTTTTTCTCCTGCCACAAATGTCAAAAATGCTTGGCGTCTGTGAGCAGAGTGCATTTTTTCCTTCTTTCTGAACAGCTCAACTTGGAAAGGTCAGCATATCCCTTTGGGGGAGAAAAAAATCTTTTCTTGTAAATTGGAATGTTTGCACATCAACTGTAGGAAATGTTTAACATTTGCTTTGATAGGGCAGCAATTTGTTCAATAGAGTGGAATTGTTCTTTTTTCCATTTTCCTGCCTGTTTGTACATCATAAGTGTCCAAATTAGAGAAAACAACTCTGAGGTGCTTCTTTCTACAGGATCTGTTAGTTCATCCTGTCCAGAAAGCCAGCCAACGCCTTAGGCTTCTGAAAGGCAAGCTATGTTCTATCATTTATGTACTCCAAGGGAATCATTTGTGATTTCGTTCTGAATCAAAGCAGTAATTTTCCATAGTCTGCATGCTGAGACACTGAAGGAGGAGGAGGTAGCACGAAGAATACAAGACCAAGAAAGAAAAAAGAATAGCTTCTCCAGGATCTCTTTTACCTTTGTGCAATTTTATTCCAGTGTACAGAGGGCATGCAGTGTTCAAAACCTGTCTCCAGTCGATTGTTTTGTTTGAATCTTTTGATTTGCTTCGAGAAGGATGTAGAAAATCCTTGATCTAGACAACAAAGCAAGTTGTTGTTTGTGATCAGCTACTTCTGATTTAATAATCAACAGAAATGTTTATGGTTTGAGAAGAATTTCTTCTTATCAGGGCCCACCTTCCATCCAGCTGGAATGGATGAAGAACAATGCTGAGTTTGTGTGCTTACAATCATTTTTGTAGCCAACAAGTAGATAACAAAATTAAGCTTATCCTTTTCCTCAAAGTAAAAATGATTTCGTTTAGCAGTGACTAAAAATAAGCCCAAGAAGAGACTTAAAGGAAGACTCTAGTATCTAGGTTTTGGTAGAAGCTGGTCTACAGGAAGGAGCCTGGGTCACAATAGCAGTGTTTAGTGGAGCTTCACATTATTTACCTTCAGAAATAGTTTCCCTTCCATTTTAGCCAGATGCATGCTGTGTAAGTACATGTGTGTGCATGCCTAAGGCACATGTAGATTCTAAGAAATGTCTTCTCAAAGCAAACCACTTCTTTCCAGACACACAGCCTCATGCCCTGGATCCTACGGTTTCTCAACTTGTCAAGGCCTTCCCTTCTTCAATTGCCCCTTTTATATGTTGTTATGGATTGAATTGCTTCCCCAAAAGAGGTCTCTTGGAGTTTTCACTCACAGAAGTCTGTGAATGTCACCTTGTTTGCAAATAGGGCCTTTGAAAATATCAGCATAAAGTCATACTGGAGTCAGGTGGGTCCTAAACCAATATGTTGTTGTTGTTAAGTGCCGTTAAATTGGTTCCGACTTATAGCAACCCCGTATGGGGTTTCTAAGGAGCAGCTGGTGAGCTTGAACTGTCGACCTTGTGGTTCAAACCGACCTTGCAGTCCAGCACATTAACCCACAGTGGTGGCCTTATAAAAGAAATCAAAGACAGAGGTCAAGACAGATACAGATGGAAGGCAGAAGCAGATTGGACTGATCAACAAACCAAGGAATGTCAAAGGAGCGCTTGTAGCGTAGTGATGACGAATTGGGCTGCTAACCTCAAGGTTGGCAGTTCAAAACTACTAGCTGTTCCACGGGAGAAAGATGAGGCCTCTGCTCCCATAAAGATTTACAGCCTCGGAAACCCTGTTCAGGGTCACTATGAATCGGAACCGACTCCGCAGTACTTAACAACAACAACAAACAAGTGTCTTGGAACAGATTCTTCCTCAGAGTCCTTAGAAGGAATCATTATCACTGATGTTGTTGTTGTTGTTGTTGTGTGATATCCTGATATTTTGGGAGTCCTGGTGTGGCACTGTAGGATAAGCACTGAACTGCTACCCACAAGGTCCATGGTTCAAACCCACCACCTACTCCTTGGAAAGCCTATACAGAGTTGCTATGAGTTGAAAGTGACTCGATGGTACTTATCAACAGTCTCCAGAATTGGAGCCCTGGTGGCACAGTGGTTAAGGCACTAGGCTGTTAACCCCAAGGTTGGTGGTTCCAATCCACTAGCCGATCAGCAGGAGAAAGATGTGGCAGTCTGTGTCCATAAAGATTTTGGAAACCCTATGGGACAGTTCTGTGTCCTATGGGGGGCACTATGAGTCAGTATCAACTTGATAGCAACTGTATTTTGGGAGGTTTATCCTGCGTTTCTCATATTGTTATGAGGGACCAGTCACTGCAGAAGGATGTCATGTTTGGTAAGGTGGAGGGTCAAGAGAAAAGGAAGACCCCCAGCTAGATGGACTGACAAAGTGGCAGCATCAATGGACTCAAGCGTGGCATATATTTATATGTTAAATATATATGTTAACATACAAATTAACACCAGGCAGTGTTTCATTCTGTTGTGCACAAGGGTCGCTATGAGTCAGTACCAACTTGATGGCACCTAACAACAACAACAACATCCTCTGGAGATGTGAAGTAATAAATGTTCTTTTATAAGCCACCCAATTTATGGTACTTTCTTACAGCAGTCTTAGGAAGTAAATATAGCTGTCAAGTTATTTTTTTTTATTGAATCATTTTCAAAAGCATCAAAATACGCTTTATCTGAATATTGAGGGGTGAGGGCAACCTGGACTAAATTCACTTCTTCTCTACTCCCTTTCACAATTAAAAAAAAAAAAAAAAAAAGCCATATACACTGATTCTCTCCCATTCTATCTTCAACACTGCAATCTGGTTTCCAACCCCATTTTGCCCAAGAAAATGATTTTGACACAGGCACATATTCTCCGTATACTACACAGTCTGCTCAAAACAAAACAAAACAAAACGAACCCAACTTTCCTGAAAGTCCTCAATAAATGCTTATTAAATAAAGTACATGTACAGAGAAATGCCTGGATAATTTAAAAGTGGAATCACATGATCAAACCTATTTTAATTAACTTTTATTCAGAAAGGAAATTTTATTAAAGACACGGTAAAAAGTCTTCAACTTTCTTTCAGAATTATGTTTCCCTCTTATTTTTCATGTTAATTCCATTTGATAGATTCCTTTCTGATACAAATGAAAGGGTCTGTATGCATTTAGAGTTTCTTGTTATATATAAAAGTAAGTCACAGACGTAATTGTCTTATAGGAGGAGAAAACATTTATTTCAATGGAAATACTAATCTTTATTCTGTCATGCTTAAATGTGTGGTTACAAACAACTTCCAATAAAACACTATATATAGTAAGCAATTAATACATTGTAAACTTACAAACAATTTCATCAATTAACAGGTTTAAGAACAAATAAGCCATTTAAGACTTTAGAGCTACATTTAGTTTAAAAAAAAATGTACTCAGGCGCTTTATCAACTTCAAGTAAGACTCTAAAGAGCTATTCAAGACTTCTTCAAACTGATCACACAAAAGACATTTTTATTTTTGGTTACTGCCCCCTGCTATGCACAAGACCACTGGATTGCTGGAACAATTACACATTTTAAAACGGTACAAAGCAAAGCAAGGGAATAACATGCCAGCCTTACAGAAGCTGTCTTCAAAGTGCAAATTTTGCATCTTCTCTTCCTGAACCACCGGGGTAAGAACGGGCACCTCAGACAACACGGCAGGGTCAAGAGCATGCTTTCTATATCACACTGGTGGGACAATGACTTGAGCCAGGTCTCCTTGCCTTTGAAGATACCTCCAGTTTTAGACAGTGAGCAGGCTTTAACTAAATATAGTGCAAATCAAAGACCGAGGAGCAAAACGACAGACTAGAGACCGCCACAGATCCACCTGCTGTTTCTCCATCTGGCACAACGCCACACAGGACAGACTGATACGCTGTAACAACTTCTATTTAGGTTTTGATATGAAAGGCGGTACGGCGGAGCGAATGCAGGGCAACCACACAGCAGCCCCGGAGCAAAGCTCCGATGTTGTAGACAGGATCTGTCCCCCCTCTCTGAGTACTGAATGCCCACAAAACTGTAGGGACCACAGGGGCAGCCAGAGCCAGGAGATCCACCAGAAAACTGCTGCTCCAGTACTGCTTAGCCACATCCCCCGGAGGTAACGGGATGATGCTGTCCAATCTTTCTTCTGTATAGGCTGCAAAATCCAGCTCTTTCATGAGATGGTTTTCATGAGCTTTCACCTCCACTTTGTTGTATGGTGTCTCCACAGGAGACAAAAGGATGGCTGAGTTTGGATTTCTTGGAGTTAAATCGATCACTAAACTAGGGATGGCCTCTGGGGAGCTTTCTGTCAGCTCAGCTCCAGATTCATCAGGGGATGCTGAGCTCGAGGAGCAGGGGTCCTGGAGCTTGAGCAGGCTCTGAATGAGCTCGGAGACTGCAGGGCTGTACAGCACCACGTCCGTCTGGACAGCTTGCTCCACCACCACACTGCCCTCCTCTTGCTGCCCCGCAATGGGGAGGATCTCAAGGACCTTTGCCCCAGGAGTAGAATGCAGAAGGGCTAGGTCACCAGGCTCGGTGGTGGTGGCTGTCACCATCTCATCCAACAAATCTGTACCATCGACCATACTATCTCCCACCATCAGCTCGGTGTCAGCCCCTTCCTCTGTGACCTGCTCTTCCAGGGACAGCCCATCTGCCATCTTGCCAAAAGGGGTGTTGAGTGTGAAGCTTTTTACTGGGGAACCACACGGGAAGTCTAGACACAGCTCATCCCTCAGAGAGCCATTGTGTGCCATCTCCATACTCTGAAGGAGAGACTCCAGCTTCTTGTTTTGGATGTTTATGTCCACAAAATACTTCTGGATGCCTTTATCTTTATCAGCCAAGCTGCTCCTCATGGTTTCAATGACCTGTCGGAGTTGTTTTATCTCTTTCCTGGCTTCCTTGAGTGCCAACTGGGCTTCCACTCGGTGACACTCCTCTTCAATCCAGTCTTCTCTCATACGGGCCAGCTGGGACTTTAGCTCCACAATTTCACTTTCCCTAGAATGGGAAGACAAGCAGGGTTCAGAAAAATGTCAGCGTTGGACAGGTAGTAAGCAATTCTCACACACCATCAAGAACCCATATTCTCCCAGTTGAAACAGAGGTTGAATCAGTTTTGAACTTTTTCTGTGTCAGGTATTAGTCATGAACTCTCACCATCCATTGTAAAATAGCCAGAATAATAATCTGTATAAAAATTAAAATCTCTACTACTGCTCTCTTTCCGTCTCTCTCTCTTTTCAAATGCTTACTATATGTGAAGCATTGTACTAAATACAAATTCTAGCTCTTCAAGACTTAATATCTGAAATTTCATTAATAGAACACATTAGAATCTCTTAGCTGGATAGTATCTCCGTAGTCTAACCTTTCAAAGTGTCCTAACAGTTTATGGAAGGAAAATTCACTTCACTTTTAATTACCCATCAAAGACAGATTTTTTAGACTTGTAAAACATTTATATCTTGTTCCAATATTAATTGAAAACCATTTTTAATCATGAAATGCTAAGAACATTATGAATGTTGCTTATTATTTCTCCTCTCAGGTAAAATGATCTTAAATCCAGTCTATACTGGACTCCTGGTGTGGCACTGTAGGATCAGCACGAGACTTTGAACCATGAGGTCGGCAGTTCAAATCCACCAGCTGCTCCTTAATAAACCCTATAGAGAGTTGCTATGAGTTGGAACTGACTTGATGCCAGCCTTACAGAAGCTGTATTGAAAGTGCAAATGTTGCATCTTCTCTTCCAGAACAACTGGGATAAGAACGGGCACCTCAGACAACATGGCAGGGTCAAGAGCATGCTTAACTTAACACCAACAACATACTGAAGAGAATCTATTTTAATTTTCAGATCCTACTCGTGAATCTGTTTCAAAATATTTGTTGAAAAATTCTTCCTTACATATACTTTTTCATAATCAATGTAAATATATGTCATATTTTTGGTGAATAAGCAGTTTTGGTAGCTAGGACATTCATATAATTTTGTGGTTAGAATTACTTTCTCAAATCCAGACTTGAATACTTCCTCAGGCTTCATTGCCTCTCTGTACCTCTGGCCCATACATAAGTGCTCACATCAGAGACAGGAATCTGATTCACCTCAGAAGTGAACTTGGCTTTCAACTTTACTTCAAGCAGGTGAGATATACCCCTCCTTACATTCCCCACCCTTATCTGTTCAGGGTTTTATCAACTAGAGTCTTTGACAGATTGCTGTAGGAACACAGGAGAGGACCAGCAGATCAGCTGTGCTGTATCCGACCCCCATGCTCCCAGAGAACGCAGACCCTGCACTCATCTTGAGCTGTTCGCAGCTACCTAAACTAGTTCTGTGAGTCTATTCCAAAATGTTTCAGGGAAAACCACTAAGCAGAAACACTGGTCCGTTCCAAGATATCAAAGGTCCTTCTCTCTGAGATAAGATCTCACAGGCGTGGACTTAGTTTTTTTATGCTTTTTTTTTTTTTTTTTTTTTAACCTTACCACTTAGCCAAGAATAACAAACCTCTTCCCTCAGCACAGAAATAGTTGGAAAAATGCACACAGCTATCCAAGCTCACAGAGGTAATCAGGGTCTAAAAGGGGTCCACTCATGGAGCATGTGCACAGAACAAGAAGTAGTTGCTCAAACAGAACAAGGGAGTACTGCACGGTTTCAAATTAGGAAAGGTGTGCATCAGGGTTGTATCTTTTCACCATACTCAGGTATGCTGAACAAAGAAGCTGGACGAGAAGAAGAAGAGCATAGCATCTGAATTAGAGCAAGACTCACAATCTGCGATATGCAGACGACACAAGCTTGCTTGCTGAAAGTGAAAAGGACTTGAAGCACTTACTGATGAAGATCAAACACTACAGCCTTCATATGGATTACCCCTCAACATAAAACGAAATTCTCACAATGGAACAAATAAAGACCACCATGATAAACAGAAAATACTGAAGTTGTCAAGGATCTCCTTTTACCTGGATCCACAATCAATGCTCATGGAAGCAGCAGTCAAGAAATCCAATGTATTGCACTGAGCAAATCTGCTGCAAAGCACTCTTTGAAGTTTTCAAAAACAAATGATATCACCTTGAGAATTAAGATGTGCCTGACCCAATTCATAGAATTAAAATGTTCTCATATGCATGTGAGAACTGGATAATGAGTAATGAAAACCCACTAAAAAATCAGTGCATTTGAATTATTGTGATGGCAGAGAATATTGAATATATCATGAACTGCTGAACAAATCCGTCTTTGAAGAAATACAACCACAATATTCCCTCGAAGCAAGGAGGGCGAGACTTTGTCTCATCTATTTTGTACAGGCTATCAGGAGTCCTGGTGTGGCACTATGGATTAATACTGCTGTTGTTGTTGTTAAGTTGTAGAGTTGGTTCCAACCCATAGCGACCCTGTAGAGAGTTTCCAAGGACTGACTGGTGAGCTTGAACCACCAACCTTGCAGTTCAAACTGACTTTGCAGTCTAGCGCATTAACCCACAACATCACACCAAGATTCCATGGATTAATGCACTGGATTTCAAAGTCCGTTAGAACCCCAAGGTCAACGTTCAAGCTCACCAGTCACTCCTTGGAAACCCTACATAGGGTTGCTATGAGTCGGAACTGACTCGATGGCACTTAACAACAGCAACAACAACAGGAGAGCCCAGTCCCTGGACAAGAACATCATGCTTGATAAAGCAGAGGGTCAGCGAAAAAGAAGACCCTCAACGAGCTGAACTGGCACAGTGACTACAACAGTGGGCGCAATCAGAGGAAAGACTGCGTTTCGCTCTGTAGCATGTAGGATTGGAAGTGCAGATTGTTCCTGTAAGTGTTCCTGCCATTTAAAAATAGTCACACACACACACCCAACGTTTCAAGTCAAAGCTGTACACACCCAGAAAAAAGCAGTTTCCTCTTTACTGACCAGTGTTCTTGAGCTTCTGGAATAGATGAATCACACACAATTCCAAATGGCTAATTTGAGAAGCTGGTTTAAAAAATTGGGCAACAATTAAAACTATTTTTCTTCATTTTAAGTTTTCTGTAGTTTGGGCCCATTTTATGGAAAAATACATTATCCTAAACCACAGAATGTGAGAAATGTGGACTCACCTTTCATGAAGCCGGCGCTCCGATTCCTTCAGTTTGGTCTTGAGGTGTCTCACTGTGACCTCTTTCTGCTGCAGAGGGGTCAAATACTGCTCTGGATTTGGGGGTTTGACACCATGATTTTCACCACAAGACATGTACCTTCCAGAACGCCTGAAACAACCCACATAATGAAAGGTGATTTTTCTGTCCTGTGTCCTTTATTATAAACAGAAAAGGCACCCTTATCTACTCAGAACTACAGGGTACCTAGCTACCAGTACTGACTGTTCTAATCAGACCCACGACAGATGGGCATTGACAGAATGGGGGGAAACGGTGGGACAGAAGTTCAAATTTCTGAAAACAACCAACAAAAAGACCTTACTGACTAGGTTGAGACTTGAGTACATCCAATATTACCCTAAGACACTTTAAAACATGAACTGAACCTAACTCCTTTTAGCTTAATAGATTGCCTTACATAAGTGTGATCCTTTGAAAAATCATCTATATGAGACCAAATGGTCAACAATTACTTTAAAACAAAGGTGAGAATGTAAGGGGGTAGGGAAACTAGATTAAGAGAAACAGAAAAAGCAAAACGTAAATACTGAGGGTCATTCATTGTGAGGAATGTAATCAATGCCACTGAACAATCTGCACAGAAACTGTTGAAAGGGAAATTAAACTGCTGTGTAAGCCTTCACCTAAAACATAATAAAATATTACATATATTTATTTTAAAAAGCCAAAGGAACACACAGCTATCAACTTTAGGAATGACAGGTGTATGTTGGGGTCTTAAGTTTTAATGATGTATGACTTCACATCAGCAGGAGCATGGTAACATACCTGCCAATCTGCTGGTGACTGGGAAGGCTGAAGGGGTGTACATGTGTGGAAGGGAAGCAGTGGAGAGGAAGGCTTTTCTATGATTTAGGAATGACTTCATACACAATAATGCACAACTGTCTTACACTGAGTGCCCCTTCAGAATAATATGCATTTATATTAAAAGGACAATGAGCGGGCAGGGAGAGGGAAGGAAGAGAGCAGATGACCTAACTTTCCACACAATGTGCCACTGCCTAGAGGTCCTGATTGTTATTAGCTGAATTCTAATTGTTCTGAAATTAGTCCCCTGATGGAAGCTGAAGGTTTTCTCTTCCGAAGGGATCAAGGCTTCTCCCCTCTCACCAGTGTGTTCTGTGAGAGAAAAACAAGACATCCCTAGGTAATCTTGCGTCCTTGTCGGGACTGGCCAAGGACGGGCATCCCTGCTGTAGTGGGAGGCTGACTAATGAGAACAGGATTTCCAGAAAAAGACAAAGCTAGGCCAGTCCATTCCGCTGAGCCGGCTGCTCCCAAGCCCCAGTAGTCCTGTTGTGACCCCTTTTTAAGTTCATTCCTTCTGTCTTTAAGCCTCCTGTTTCCCTTGAGATGAATCGACTCATTGCTTGACCTTCAGCTGTCATGTCAACTCTGATTCCTCCAGGCTGAGCAGACTCGCTCTGCCCCCTTTTCTACATGGTGTTGCAGAAGAATCTTGTTTGTGCCACTAAATCACTAACATCTTTCTCCTCCTTTGGGTGATATGCTCAGGGACCTTCTCTTTTGTTCAGTGTTCTATTCCCAGTGCTTAACACAGAGTCCTGGTGTGGCGCTGTGGGTTAATGCGCCAGACTGCAAAGCCGTTTGAACTGCAAGGTCAGTGGTTCAAGCTCACCAGCTGCTCCTTGGAAACCCTATGCAGGGTTGCTATGGGTCGGAATGGACTAGACTAGACGGCACTTAACAACAACACAGTATCGGCACATCATGGTAAAAAACAGAAACAAACAGCTGTTGTGAAGTCAAGTGGATTCCAACTCATGGTGATTCATGGGTGCCAGGGTTTTCAGTAGCTGAGTTTTCTGAAGTAGATCACCAGGTACTTCTCCCAAGGCACCTCTGGGTGGACTTGAACCCTCAACCTTTCAGTTAGCATTCAAGTGCATTAACTGTTTGTCCCACCCAGGGACTCTGACATATCCTAGTACTCAATATATACTCAGTGTTTGAATGAAGGGATGAACAAACACTTGAGTGATTCTTTCCTGTTGGGAGGGAAATGAGTAGGACCTTCCTCCTGCTGGGTGCCAATTCTCCTCCCTAGTCAGTAACTACTTGGCCTGCTACCACGTGTTAGAGACTGTGGTTGTGCTCTTTCTGCAGCAGTCCTTGAAGAATTACCTGAATGTAGGAAAAGACAGAGAAGTGTCTTACCTAAGAGTGGGACAGGTAGTAGAGAATTAGCAAGCGTGTCCAACCTTTTGTGAAAAGGAAAACTCATCAAGCAGGACAAACTAAGTGCCCTGAATCAGTGAGCAGGACTCACCTCATGATTGGGCTGCAGTCACTTCCTTTGTAAGAGCCCGAGTTGCTACTACTTGGGGAAGAAGGTGCGTAACTGGAATGGGCGTTAATGGGACTCAGCTGGTTTCGGCACAACATGGACAGAAGGTCTTTTTCCCGTGGGGATGGTGGGCTATTGACAGATTTGTGTGATGAAGCTCCATTGCTCCGCCCATGGGAACCTCGACTGAGAGAAAAGCATAACAGATGTTAAGATCCTTGGGACCAAAGATGCCTAAATGCTAATGTCTTACTCCTGCTTAAAGCAACTTATTACTAAGGGATTCCACTTTATAGTCTCCAAAGGACTCTGATTATTAGTGAAACTGGCCTCCTCATGAGCAGCCTCTACCCACCTGCCTGGTCTTTTCTCTCCTTCCATTAGCAGCACAAGCAAGCTCTCTGCTGCTCTTTCAAATAATTCCCCTCCCACAAAGCTGTCTTGGACTTAAACCCAGTTGCCTGCAAAGGACACAATACAGTAAAACACTGATTTGGTTTAGGTTCATTTTGGAACAGGTAGTTTTTGGTCTACTGCACACTAATTTCATCTGAAAGGTATTTGGGATTGGTTCATATTGGGGTCAGAATATCAGGACAGTTCATTCGGAGGATAGGGGAGGAGACTGACCAGAAAATAAGAAATAACAGAACAGACCAACACAGGCAACACAAATGTATCAGAGGTTTGTAATTTTTTCTTCTTTGTTTACCTCTTCACCCAATGACTTAACACAGCCTTCACCAATGAACTGCTGAAATGCTATCACAGTCACCTTTTGGTTCCCCTGCCTCTGGCACTGCCCCCGCCCTCCATCAAGGAGCTGACCGTGTGGCAGGAGCAGCCTTTCTGAAAGAATTGGAACGGTTCTATTCTCTCAGAGCCATCCAACGGCTCTCCACTGCTGCCAGAAATAAAGCCAGAGTCCTAATTATGATTCACAAGTTCCAACCCCACCCAACCATCCAACCTGCTTGCATCCATCTTCCCTCTCCCCTCTATATTCTAGTGTTCCTTGTGACTTACAGGTTCCTGCAGCATGATGCTCTCAATCATCTTTATGTTTTGAAAGTGTAACTTCCTCTTCCTACTAGATTCTCCTCCCACTCCCTACTGGACTGGCTACTTGCTGCCTTGAGACTGAAGGAAACCTACTACAAGCAAGCCCTCTCCACATTCTCCCTTCCTTACATCGCTCCAAGTGCCTCTCCTTGGTGCTCTCTAGTACTGGAAGCAAAATTCCTCCAGGATATTTATCACATGCATTCTTGTTTGCCTTCCCATCCAGACTAGGGCATCTTTGAAGGTAGGAATCTAGTCTTTTCTTTTCCATCCTTAGTATTTCCTGGTACATGGAACCAAAAATTCGTTACTGTTGGGTTGATTCCAATTCATGGTAACCCTGTGTGTGGCAGAGTCGAATGGGGCTCCATAGGGTTTTCAATGGCTGATTTTCAGAAGCAGATTTCTAGGCCTCTATGCCAAGGCTCCTCTGGGTGGAGTCGAACCTTCCATCTTTCAGATAGTAGCCAAGCGTGGTAACCATTTACATCTATCCTGGACTTTTAGCTTCTTTTGGGAAAAAGATCAAGAATGGCACAGTAGTACAGATTATTGCGGTGACTCCTAGGTCACAGGATTCCGGGAAGATTAGGGTGGCAATTTATCAGGACCTGGACCATTTCGTTACCTGAAAGGCATTTGCTAAATGCCAATTTCAATTTTCCATTGGATTTGAGAACTGGTATTACCACTTGCTGGAAATGTGAGCAAGTAAGCCATTAAATTTCCCTATCTGCGATTTGGGGACATATACTAATCTTTCCACTTTCCTCATAGAGCTGATGTGAAAATCAAATGAAAGAATGCAAGTAACCACATGCAATGAGCTGATTAGGGCAACTCAACTAAAGGGTATTATTATAGAATAAACATTAGGATTTCACCGTTTAATCTACATCCAGAGACCTGACACCCACTTGTATAAGGAAGAATCTGGAGAATGGTGAAATTACTTAAATAGGATAACCGTCCTGTGTCAGGAGTATTACTTGATTATATTACAGGGAAATAAGATACCTTTGGGATAGAAGTACTGCTTTTTGACAACCCTCCCTGTAATTTTAATTACAGTTGTTTCCAGCTGACACATCTCAACGAGAAATATGTGTCTAGGTGGATATGAGTGTGTGTGAGTAAACTCAGCTCCAAAACCTTAATTACTTACTTGACATCAAATACAATTTCCACGAGCTGTCAGTCTAGAAAAGTATGCATCAGTGAAACATCACCAAATTCTAAAGTTAATAGGTCTTTCCTCTGAAGGCTTCCAACCAGACTCTCCCTCTTTTTTTGTGAGAAGAGGACACTTTATATGGAACAGATGGGTGGATGGCTGACTGACAAACCAACCTCAGCAGTCCAGGGATGGGAAGGACTGAATAAATAACTGAAAGGAACATGTACCCTGGCTTGAATTTTGTCTCAATGTGTGTCTGGCACCAGCCAATTGATTATTTAATGTGACTGTGGGAACAATGGAGAGTTAACCATTTCAAGTCAGGAGAGGATGTAAAGAGCTATTACTCAGAGCAAACCCCCTTCCAAGACTAAGACTCAATGGGAATACACACTCTGATTGGTGACCACGTTCATCAACAATAAGGGGAAGTGAGGGAAAAACAGCAATGAAGCTGCGAGCTAAGCCCTACAACGTTCAATAGACTCCTGTGAACCCGGGTGAAGACCTGGTT